TTGAAGTCCTCTCAAAATAAATGCCAACATTACATTTGCCTCTTGACTACTGACTCAACCTGCAAGTTTACCTTGAGAGAATCCTGGACTAGAACTTCCAAGTCTCTTTGCACTTCAGACTTTTGAATTTTCTCCCCGTTTAGAAAATAGTCCATGCTTTTATTCTTCTTATCAAAGTGCACGACCTCACACTTTCCCACGTTGTACTCCATCTGCCACTTCTTTGCCCACTGTCCTAACCTGTCCAAATCCTTCTGCAGCCTCCCCATCTCCTCAATACTACCTGTCCTTCCACATATCTTTGTATTGTCTGCAAACTTAGCCAGAATGTCCACAGTTCCTTCATCTAGATCATTAATGTACAAAGTGAAAAGTTGTGGTCCGAACACTGACCCTTGTGGAACACCACTTGTCACCAGCTGCCATCCTGAGGAAGACCCTTTTATCTCCACTTTCTGCTTTCTGCCAGACAGCCAATCTTCTATCCATGCTAGCACCCTGCCTCTAACACCGTGGGCCCTTATCTTACTCAGCAGCCTCTTAAGTGGCACCTTATCAAAGGCCTTCTTGGAGTCCAGGTAGATAAAATCCATTGGCTCTCCTTGGTCTACCCTGCTCATTACTTCCTCAAAGAATTCTAGCAGACTTGTCAGGCATGATCTCCCCTTGATGAAACCATGCTGACTTTGCCCTACTTTACCATACACTTCCAAATATTCAGAAATCTCATCCTTTACAATGGACTCCAAAATCTTACTCACAATCGAAGTTAGGCTAATCGGCCTGTAATTTTTCATCTTTTGTCTTACTCCCTTTTTAAACAGGGGTGTCATGTTAGCGATTTTCCAGTCCTCTGCAACCCTCCCTGACTCTAGCGAATTCCTGAAAGATCACCACTAACGCTTCCACTGTCTCTTCAGCTATCTCCTTTAGAACTCTGGGGTGTAGTCCATCTGGTCCAGGTGATTTATTCACCTTCAGGCCAATCAGTTTTACTAGCACCTTCTCCTTGGTGATGGCCACTATACTCAGCTCTGCCCCCGACTCTCTTCAATTTTTAGGAGATTACTCATGTCTTCCACCATGAAGACTGAAGCAAAGTAATTATTCAGTTCCTCAGCCATTTCCTTGTTCCCCACTACTATCTCTCCACCATCATTTTCCAGTGGTCCAATGTCCACTTTTGCCTTTTATTTATCTAAAGAAACTCTTACAGTCTTCATTTATATTACTGCTTAGCTTACCCTCATATTTAATCTTCTCCCTCCTTTCTTTGTAAGCTTCCCAGTCCTCTGGTTTCCCACTGCCCTTCGCCACATTATATGCTTTCTCTTTTGCTTTAATGCTATCCCTGACTTCCTTAGTCAGCCATGGTTGCCTCATCCTCCCTGTACCATGCTTCTTTTTCCTAGGTATGAATTTTTGCTGCATCTCCTGAATTACTCCCAGAAACTCCTGCCATTGCTGTTCCACTGTCTTTCCTGCTAGTATCCTCTTCCAGTCAATTCTGCCCAGCTCCTCCCTCTGCAGTCGCCTTTATTCAGCTGTAATACGTTACCTCTGATTCTATCTTCTCCCTCTCACATTGCAGAGTAAATATTATCATCTTATGATCACTGCCTCCTAAGGGTTCCTTCACCTTAAGCTCCCCTATCAAGTCTGCCTCATTGCACAACACTAAATCCAGAATTGCCTGTTCCCTTGTGGGCTCCACGAACTGCTACAAAAAGCCGTCTCGTAGACATTCCACAAGCTCCTTTCCTTGCAATCCACCACCAACATGATTTTCCCAGTCCACCTGCAAGTTGAAATCCCCCATGATCACTGTAGCCTTGCCTTTCTTGTACACCTTTTCTATCTCCTGTTGTATCTTGCGCCCCAGCTCTTGACTACTGTTTGGAGACCTGTACACAACTCCAGCTATGGTTTTTTTTTACCTTTGCGGTTCCTCAATTCTACCCACACAAAATCTGTATGAAATTCCTTCTTTCTTCTTGTAGGCACCCATCACCACACCCTTTGATGTCTTCATAGGAGTTGCTACAACTTTTTTTGGCACCAGTGTCTCCATTGCTGATGATGCCTGTTAAAGGATCGATGCTGTAGAGTCATTAGCTCTGGCTGGACAAATTCGGGGAGATGTCTCCATTTGATCTCATAGAATCAGAATCCCTACAGTGTGGAAAGAGGCTATTTGGCCCATCAGGTCAGCACCAACCCTCCGAAGAGCATCCCAACCAGACCCAGCCCCCTACCCTATTCCCATAACCCCATATTTACCATAGCAAATCCATCTAACCTGCACGTCTTTAGACTGTGAGAGAAAACTGGCATATGCAGCAGAAACCCATGCAGACACCTGGAGAATGTGCGAACTCCATATAATCACCCAAGGTGGAATTGCATCCAGGTCCTTGTCACTATGAGGCAGCAGTGCTGACCACTGAGCCACCATGCCACTCACCCTTCCCATTCCCACTTTCAACTGCCCCTCCCTCAGAATCCTGCCATTGATCACCCAACACGTGAATCATCTCAGAGCCCCACCTCGCCATGTCCTTTTAGTGTGCCCTGGTTTTGACTTTTGAAAGCCTGGCTGCTTTAATCAAGGGCAAATTTAGTGATTGGTCTGTGGGACACCATATGGTGTAGAAGATAAAGTTTGGAGTGAGCTATAATATAAAGGTTGGTGTTGGAAAGGGAGCATTGGAGATGTGGAGAAACCTGGAAGACCAACCAGAAGAACATGGGACTGTTGCTGAGAAAAGACACATTTGTCAAAGCTCTTACATTCATTTGGACAATTTACATGAAATAGTAATGATAGGGATAATGAGAAAGTGGGCTGTGATTGATATGACATGGCAAATGCACCAGTTAATGATGGTTGGCAGTTAACTCCTCTCATACAGGTTATAGGAGACTGCTGATTGGTAGAGGCATTGTTGTGATGAATGCATCAGTTAATGATTACTGACAATTAACTACCAACTCCTCTCAAACAATGTATATGTTGTTTTACCTTTGGTTTTTCTTGCAAATTGTCCCAATGAGCAAGCTAAAACATATTGATAAAAAAGCAGTACTTGAGTTTGGTCTACAAAATGAACTTTGGAAATAATTGCAAACATAGTTGAACCAACACAAAGGTCATTTCCCTTGACATTTCCTCTCTTCCTTTTCTTACATTCTGAATTTTTGGCTAGAAATTTAAAGTCAAGTCTCATTGCACTTTCTTACTGTAATTCATTCCTTTCCCAGTACCCAGCATAAGGCAGGCCACTAATGTTCCTCCTCAGCTCGTGGACACATTGACTTCTGATTCTACCGTGCATGGATCCTGGGGGATTATGCAGCAGCAGGAAAAAACAGATGGAACGTAGCTGACTATCACCTTCTTAAGGGCAACTAGGGAAGAGCAGTAAGTGCTAGCCCAGACAACGATGCCCAAATCTCATTAATGAATAAAAGCAGTTTAAAGGTAATTCGTAGTGCCAATCAAGATTTGTTAGCACACCGTCAAACATAAAAATTAACTCCATCCATCAGTGGTACATTTGGTATGGAATCACAGAATTCCTATAAGCCATTCGGCCCATCAAGTCCACACCGACGCTCAAAACAGCACCCACA